CCTGGGCAGAGGACTAAGAGATGCCATAATCTACAGAGGTAACGATACCCAGCAGAACAGAAAGCCAAGCCTCCAGACACATCCTCTTATAATACTTTAAAGAGGTTTCTGGCATCCAACTTTGGCCAGGTTTGTCCAATTTTTGGGGGTTTGGAGGAGCAGTGACTCCAGCTGGTGTGGGTGAGAACCGTTGCTCCAAAGACACCAACAGCCTCGAGTCAGACACTCGAATATTGATACACAGAAAGGTGTTTATCCCAGAACATGGAGATTTTAGTCTCTTGCCCTCGCTCAGCACAAATCAGTAGCAGAGAAAGTCTCCATTACCAGATTTGAGCTTTATTCCTTTTTGCTGTATTTCTGGGTTCCCTGTCCAAAGTCTGGGCCTTTCAAAGTCAGGCCCAGTACCTCTGTGAAACCAGGAACGATTTGCCAGGTCCTGCAGACACCAGCAGCAATGAGAGGCACTGGTCCCTGAGCTCCAGGGTTGCTGGTCAGTGAGGCACTGCCTGGCTGACATCGCCAGCTTCTCCACATCAAACTTGCTGCTTTTGTCCGTGCCAATCGCTCCAGCAGCGCTGCTCGACCGAGGGCAGCTTCCCCCAGAGGTGACCGGCTGATGGCTCCGAGCTCTGCCTGGGTCTCAGTCCTCACCTGTGATACACAGCTTTTCTTCTCATCGAGCATCCCCCAAAACACCATCAACTGTGCCAAGTTGTCCTGTGGCTTCTGAATATGAGAAAACATTTAATGAAATCTGATTTAAGTCCTGTCTCCAAATGTAGCATTTGTGGAAATGCTGCTGTCACTTTTCCCAAACCTAATATAAAAATAGTATGAATTATGAGTACCACAATACTACAACCCCAAATTTGCTGTGTCAGTGCACAGTCATGCCTCACACATATCCACGGGCTGCAGCCCACTTACCACTAAAAAGGAGAGAAACAGATCCATGACAGGCTTGGAAAATGCTTTAAAATTAGCGACTTGCTAAGACACCTGACAGCAATGCCACTTGTTTATATGCTGTGTAGGTGTAAATACCACCCACTGCGGAAACACTGCAGAAAAGTCTGCACGTTCACCTTCGACGTTTCCCTGCGTGCTGGACCCTGCTCCCTGGAGGGAGCCCCAGGGTGGGGGTACTGTGTTTGTTATAAAGGCCCAAGTACGACCCCAGCAATTCCACATTCATGTTGTTCTCCCAGCTTATCTTCTCACAGCTTTGGAGTGCGTTCCTCCGTTATCACAGAGACAAATGGCCTCCATGGAGAGCTCTAACAGCAGCGCTATTTATCTGTCTGACATGTGTTTCCCTGTTTGTTTTCTCCAGCCTTGAGACGGCTCAGGCTCTGACAACATTCAGCTGTGTCAATGGTGGAGGCCCCTTCACTCCAGTGCTGTGAGTCAGCTTCTTTGCCATATTTATCATTTACTGCAGTAAATCAAGTCTAACCGAAGCTTTCCTTTGATAATGAACAAAACCTTCACAAATTTTCCAAAAAGCTGGAAGTAAAAAAACCTGGAGGGGTGGTGTAAAAAAGAAATAATTTCATCAATTCAGCACTAATTTGCAAGGAGGGGGAGGGAAATGAAAGGCTGTCCTGTGGTGGCGCTGATCCCATGAAGAAAAAGGAGAAAAAAACCCCATTTTGTTTATCCGGTGATTGTTTCCAGTATTTATTTCACTTGTTGCTTTTAACACCTTTTTGTTAAAGCACTGCATGAACAAGTGTCTCCCTAAGGTAAGGGCATCTCCTCTCCATTCTTTCAGTCCCCTCCCAGACGCAGGGGACTCCCTCCACACACACAAACACACACAGGGTTGCACTCTGGGTCCTGCCGAGCAGCGAAGACAGAGCTTGACAGCACCAGGTTCCCCTTGGTACTCACTCGCCAGGCCTGGGTCTGGTAAGAACAGGGGTCAGTGCTGCCCCAGGGGCCGTCTGTGCAGCACAGAGGTGTCAGGAGTTAACTGGAGCCACCTCAGCTGGCTTCAGGGGAGCTCTGCAGCACGGCACAACAGAAGGTCAGGACAAAATGCTCCATTTAACAGCTTGATCTTTAATACAAAGTTAACTGGTTAACAAGACATTGAACAAGTTACATTTCCAACTCCATTTCATCTCTCCCAGAGCACTCTGTACACCTCAGACAATCCGCTTTCCCCTCCTCCAGCAAAACCCCACAGCATTTCCCCTCTAAAGGACTCAAACTTACTTCCAGTAGGAATTTTGTCCAGACACTGCAATTGTTCCCTTTGGATTGATGATGATGACAAGCAACGAATGCCTTAAAACAAAGCATTGGCTGTGCTACAAATGAGCTTGGTGCACTGGAAACAAGCAGGATTTCAAACCCAACAGAACAGATGCATTGAGTACCTCACACATAAACCTAATTCCAGTCTGGAAAACCTGCACCAGAACAACTGCTATGGATTCACCCAAACAGCTCCTCTACATAAATTTGACTCCTTACTGGAGTTCGCTCACTTCTTCCAGAGCCTGCAGCAACCTCCGGGATTGAGGGACTGGGGAGGTTTGGGGCTTTTTTTGCTTTCCCCAAGTGTTTGTGGTTCATGGAACCAGCAAGCTTTGGTTATCAAGGTTACAGAGCTCCACGTTTCTCCTAAAGGCATCTTTGTGTGATCTTTTTGGAGAAAGAAGATTTCTGTTTCATACAGACACTGCTCATCCTGAGCTGGTTGTGCTGGTTAATGCAGTCACACGTGAAACTCTTACCACATAATAGGGAAAAACTTCCCACCCCACCACTACAAAGGTCACCTAAAATTGCTATTGGTCAATAGAGAAATCAATATTCATTATCAGCTCCACCACCACTAAACACAGTTTTGGAAAAAGGCAACGATGAACCTCAACACCGGAGAAAAAGAGGAAGGAACCTGGAAACAGGGGGGGGCTCAGCACGTTTCCCCAGCGCAGAGGAACAGCAGGGCAGCAGAGCAGGACAGGCAGCAGCAGCACTGCAGACCTGCAGAGGTGAGTGCATCTCCAGAGGCAGAAACAGCTCAACCTATCCAGGGTCTCAAAGGGGACGACATCAGTGATACCCAAGTTAACACTTGTGAGCATGTTGTATTCTCATGGCATTTACTGTGGCACCACATCGTATGGACACTAAAGACACCTACACCAAACCTGGATTCACAACGATACGGCGGAAAAGGCCCATGAACACCATAAATAAATTATGCTTTTAGGGACACAGAGGCATGAGATGCTGTCCTCGCTCCGAAAGAGACAGTCAGCGCCTGAACACCAGCAAGTCCGTCAGAAAAACAGAACATTCTCCTCAGTCTGCCACAAAATGGGAGAATTAAAAAAGAAAGAGCTGAAGACATGGGAATATTACAAATATCCCCCAATTTTCACAATGTGTATTTCCTAACTCACGTTAATAGAGCTTTCACCAGCCCACGTTCAGTTGAAGGAAGTTTCAGAGTTGGCAGCTGTAATTCAGTGAGAGAGGGAGGAGGGTTACTTTTCTTTTCCTAAGCGCACTTTTCCCCCTCTCAGACATATGCTGCATAATTGAAGCTACAGTGTAGGTTTTATTGCCAGCATTTAGAAGAGTAAGTGCTCACTGACATGTGAGATGGGAAAGGTTCCGCCCCTGGGGAACTGAACACAGAGACTGATTAAGCGACCGGTAGGTGTTTAAGAACATAAGAAATATTGGCAGCTCAGGGCTGCAGCTCTCACCGAACAGGAGTCAGCACAGGAACAGAGCTAACCTGTTGACTGCCAGCAGGGTGTAGCACTGGTGAAGCAGCAACCCTTAAGTTTTGGATTTTATGCACTTTTTATAGTAAAAAGGTTGAGAAGTACTCATGGCTCGCTCATCTCAAGGCGTGAATCGGGTGCCCCTGTTTGGTCAGACTGCGGACCCAAACCTGGTGGTCCACGTCCCATCCTGCTCCTCCCCAATCCTTCTGGTGAGACTGAGCAGCTGCGTATCATTTGCAGTAGCCACCTGATTTGAAGAACCTATCTACAGGTAACAGAATCTAGCACACAATATATTGACTGATTGGATTATTTCAATGCTGTAAAGACAAAAAAGGAGCAAATCAGTTGTCCAGAGCTACATGACGGACTAACAACAAAGCCAGGTCTAGACAGCACAAGTTTCCTCCCAGTCCTTCTCTCAAGACTGCTGTACCGTGCTGTCTCCTCATTCTGGTTCATATTACTGTGGTGATACTAAGAGCATCTGCAGAAAGTAGTAAGAAGTAATTATGATTCCTGTTGTACAAAGAGCAACAGTAGTGTCCACACAGGGAAGCATCCCAAAATAGTACAAAAGAATAAACACATGACAAAACTGTTAAAATAACTTAGGTAAGAACTGGAGAAATATAAGCTATAACCTTTAATTTTGTGGAAACATAAGCAATAACCCTTCTATCTTGCATTGAAAAATCAAGAAATTTCCATTATTTTGTGCAAAAATAGAAAATATTTCTATATTTAACTTGTCAATGCTATCTAGACTTTTACATTTATAACCATGATTTTTGAAGTGGTTAGCTATAAAGCATTTTAAAATTTAAAAAGTGCAGCAAGATGTCATAAGCAAGTTTATACAAACACAAAGAGGATATTTTTCAATTAAATCTCAACAGCTAAAGACAACTAAAATGATGCTACAACTTCTTTCAGTTGCATTTGATTCTACTACCAAATAAGCCCAAAACGGTTCCTAGAATTTTACCAAAATTACACATTCCCACATGCAGGGATCCAATCTGAGACTCTGTTGAACCAGGAAAGAAAAATAAAAATCTAATTATGAGGATATCCATCATACAGTCACATCAATTCCCTCCAAAGCAGCTTTGTCCTCCAAGCTGTCAATGCAACAAAGAAGAAAAATATCAACTCCTTTTGCAGCTGAGGAAGCCTTGGGAACGTCTCGTTACAGCAATGAGCTGAGCTGCAGTGGGTCACACCGCGCTCTACCACGGACCTTTAGTCTTCATCTTCATTTGTGCTGCAAAGGAAAAGCAGTGGGTTTGTCTCTGAAGACACCTCCAGGAAATTTCCCTTCCCAGCAGTACCCTTTGAGAACCTGTCATGTTCAGATCCATGGTTTTCTCCTTGTTCCTGTAAAATGCAGCTTGCAGTAGCCAATCCTGCAGGCTCTTCTGAAAGTCTGACTGCAGCGTGCATCTGCTTTTCTAATTCTTCTATCAGTTTTCCAGGAACAGAGGTAGATTGCAGAGGAACCTTTGATTTTTCATCACTAACCTCAGACGCCGAAGTGCTTGCGCCCTGCCTTAATCCATTAGAGTCAGTAAGTGGAGCTGTCCTCTCCTCCTGAAGCGCGCCTTGTAAAGGATTTATTTTCCCATCTTCGCTGGCTGAGGACTCTCGCTCGTCTGAATCAGAGCCGTCTGTCTCGGATGATGAAGTGCTGCTGGATTCCTCAGAGCCGCTCGTCTCAGACCCGGAGGAAGGCAGCTGTTGCTTGGAAACTGCGCCAGCAGCTTTTAACATCTTCTCTTCCTCTTGAACCAGCACTGCTGCCTCTTCCAGCTCTTCCAGCTCCAATCCTAAGTGAGACTTAGCAAGCGCGGTTTTCTGCAAGGATTCAGAGAGTGCAGCCAACTTCTTTGACCTTTAACAAAGAACAAGGCATATTATTTAATTTTACTAACAGAACTTTCCCATTAGGTAACGGGAACACAAATCTTAAACACTTCTACTGTTTCCTCGGTTTGCAAACAACTTCAATTATGGTTGCAAAAGCAGATGCTACAAGGAAAAAAATCAAAAAGTATTCATAATGATTATTATTTTGGTAACTTTTCCCACAAGGACAGACAGTATCCCATTGAAAGTCTTTGGTGACACTTTGAGAAGCAATACTGCTGCTTTGATGTTTTAGCAGTGCACAGGAAGGGAAACTGATTTCAGAGCAAACCTTTTCAGGATTGCTGTCTTTAGCAGCCAGCTCTGCAGTATGTGGCTTGCTGGATTAAACTTACATACAGCAAAATCATTTTGGTTTACTACCCTTCCAGATAAGTCAGTTAAATGCAGATGAACCAATAGGGCATAGCTGATCAGGTCCATTTCTGTGATATATTCTCCTTCTTTCACAGCTAGCTTTACGTGCCCTTGATAGCAGGAGATGTTCAATACTGTCTGTAGATGTGCTTTACCTTTCACTTGTAACCCTGCTGAAACATAACTCAATAGAAATAGCAGGACCATTTGGATAAACCTCTCTAAGCAAGCAGGCACGCTATGTCAGCTTCAGCCCTTTGGTACAGCCATACCCATTTCCTGCAGTGTTTTGAAGGCAGCGTGTGCTTTATCGGAAAAATGCATCATGGATTTGTAAACAGAGAGAACAAAAAGTAAAAGGGTGCCTTGAAACGGAGGTGGGGGGACAGAGGGGAAAAGGGTCTAAAATAACAAACATACATCCTGTTTCTTGTGTAGAGCTTTGCCTCAGACCATCAATCAACTTCGCCACTTCCTGCAGCAGCAGCTCCACCATAAATCCTGCAGTAAGTGGCGGGGTTTCATTTCCTCTGCCAAACCTGCTAACCTGCAAGGCACGACACGCCGACACTGCGGCCAGCAGCTGATCGTGTCAGACAGGGCTCCTGCCAGGCAAAAGTTAAAGTGCTTGTTCTCGCAGCTGAATGATTTTAAAGATCTTCGTATTATTCCCTTTCCCAGGGGGCATAATTACTCACTACAACACAGACGCTTCAATTTTATTCTTTTTTTTTTCTCCTAAAGGAATTGTATTTAAAAGTGGGGGAAGGGAAATCCAATGCAGCTTCTTACACACTTCACAGAGACAGCGCAACATTTAAAAGCTGAACTTGGAATAAAACATATTAAACTTCCTTAGCTCGACACATATACTAGAAAACTAAGAAATAAGTGCTTGCCAGAAGTAACTGAAGCAACAGAGAACAAGTTATACTTCTAGGATTTTTTAAATCTAAAGCGAAGAATTAAACCACTGCATTATCCTAGCGGCCCCCAAATTTTAAAAAGTTGCTTCCTTGACACTATTCTGATTTGCTCTTTTGGTGATATATTTCCATTTTATTTTTGTCAAGAACTTGAATTTTTCTTGAAAAGTTATGGAGGATTTGAGAAATTGCCAGCCTAACTGGGAACAAAGCAAGCAGTTGCCCTCCTCCATAAGTGAAAAGGAAAAGAAGCCGAGTGATGGACAAAAAGGTTTATGAAGCCCTGCAGGTAGGTGGTAACAGCACAAACGGCTTGCAGATAAACCTGCTTCCTGAACACACTGAGGAGAAGCTGGTTTATACCCCACCTCTCAAGAGTTTGTACCCCTTTCAGAAGGCATTTTGCTTTACTTTTGAAATAGTCTCTTCTTCATGCATATTTTTCCCGCTAGATACTCTCAGTCCTTAAAATCCTCCTTTACTGTTCTTTTATAATACAGTTAACATGTTGGATGTAGAAACATGTCACGTAACTGAATAAAGTATTAGAGAGATGCATGGCATCGTGTACTTTTTCACATTAATACTTCACTTTGACCAGATTACTTAACGCCAAGAGTTAAGGCAGAAAATACAGTGATACACTCATTGGACTCAACTCGCATTATGTTACTAAGTTAGAAGAGGTACTACTGACAGCTAACAAATGATCTCTCTAAAGCAGCAAGTGTTTGGTTACTGTACACACAAACGCGTTTCTATCAATGAGTTCAAAGAGAATGAATGAAAAGGCTGGTGTCAGAGAGGTACAAACACCCGTAAAGCTGCAAAGGGATTCTTAGTCTGAAAACCATCGGTTAATTCCTTACGAGTGATCAAAATAAACTGCAAAACAATGATGATTTGAATGATGAAATGATGAAAACTGATTTCATAGAACAACTGTGGCTTCAAGTTGAATGTTTAGTCACGTTTCCCTAAAGTGTTAGAACAACTGAGAGAGGACTTGTTTATTTTACAAAGGATTATAGGAAAAAGCCACTGATTAAACAGCCTTTGCTTGTAACAGTACCAGCGCAAATGGAAACTCTGTTTGGATAGGAAATGCCTGCAAAAGGCCAATAATTCCACCAGTCCTCTTCACCTCCACAAGTGCCTCACAGCCGCACTGTGGTCCCCTGCAGCGGTGACAGCCAATGCCCATGGATCACCCCGCCTGTCCCAGGAATGGGAAGGGGCACAGGGTTCACACAGACCTGCACAATCTTCTTTCCTCTGCACCATCAATGCCCCAGGGATCACGTTAGGCCAACCACTGTAGGAATCTTCTAATAAATCATACAAAAACTAGATTATTTTACTATTCTTGTCCACCTTGTTTAAGGCAATTACCTAATTTCAAGGAGAACTGAGTTTCAGGAGTGCATTTCACATCAGCCTTAAGAAAAGGTGGCAGCTCTTCCTGGACAAAAACCCAAGGTAAACAGCATAAAGACCAGCATGGAAATGCTTTCAACAGGAGCCTGTGGGTCTCTGAGCTGATGCTTTCCTCAGCTGAAAGAGAAGCAACAACTCAGGAAACAAACATGAGGCACCAGAAACAAGGCACCATGTACTAGAGACTTGCAGTAAACAGGCCCTGCTGTTCCCAACACTTTTGAGTACTGTTTTAGAGATTAGACAGCAAATTCTTTAATTTTTCAAGTATGATTAATGGAATCGCATGATTACTTTAAGACATGCTCATTCAGTATGCACATTTGTGGTAATGATATCTTATTATTATGATAATAGTGTTCTTACACAAACATGCATAATAGGCTTTAAAGGTGCTACACATGATAATTATTAGTTATCAAGATGTCAGTTGCTTAAGGAAAATGTTTAATTACAGGTTAAACTGATCAGATGCATGTTTTGTTTAATGTATAGCTCTGAGGAACAGATAACAACAGAGGCATCTCAGGGCTTGTCCGTGCAGTCTGGAATTAAAGTTTCAAGACAAAACTACTGCAAGTCTTGTCAAGGCACAGGAGTTTCTCCATGCACCAGAAGAAAAAAAAACCTTGTTCCACAGATCTCATACTATACAAGAGTAAAACTGGGGTGAAAAGAACAAAGAATCAAAGGAGATTTAGAAAATAAAGGGAGATGGATAAAACAACAACAAAAAAGATTAATGGCAACAGGAAAGGGAAATCACTGCAGGTTTATGGCAAAGCCCACCTGTGGCAGCACGAAGAGAGCTGATGGCGATGGGACCCACTGCAGTGCTGAGGCACAGGCAGCAGCAGGGGTGGGAGAGCAGGACACAGCTGCTCCAGTTGGGACTACTGCTTCTGTGAGCCCTGCTCCCACCTCCTGCTCCAGGAGTAAAGAGGGCACTGGGGTCTGATCAGTCAAGACAGCCACTATCTCCAGAACAGAGCTACCAGAGAAGGGTCTCACTGAAAACATATCTTGGGCATTTGACTGTTTCCAAGAAAGATTTAATGTGAACTGGAGGGAAAGACAAAAGTCAGCTTAACCACAAAGTAAAAAATAAATGCAGAGCTTGGGGGACACATCCAGCCACAAAATCTTCTGGTCTTTCCCAAATGTTAAAATAAAAATAAATAATTACACTTCTGTATATTATGTCCATCAGTCAGAAACAGCACTACAGAAGGAAAAGATTTAAAGAAAAAAATGTTAATGAACCAGGCCTTTTCCATCTGCCTGGTATTTGCCTTACATCCAATCCTCTTGCTTTAGCAGTTTAGTTATGTTAAAAAAAAACCCCAAACAAAAAAACCCAAACAAACCCCAAATAACTGGAGGAGACCTTGGAAATACGAAAATCAGCATTCTGCTTCTCACTGGTGTGATGGGTGGCACAGCACACTTGACCATGGCACCGGAGTTACAGATCTAAAACACTGTGCAGAGTACTTGCAAACACGGGAGTAAATAGTTGAGTTGGCAGCACAGCCTTTCAAAGCAGGAGTCAGTAACATTTCACTATGGAATGAAAAGAGACTTTTCTTGTACAGGCACAAGCTCTGGCTCGTTTGTGTTTTTGTAAACAATAGAAGGATTATTTCTACTGCCTCATAAATTTGGCTTTGCCTTTCACAGATGTATACAAACATGCATTTTTCTGAGGTACACACTGTTAAACTAGGTGTAAGACACGGCAAAACGCAACAGAATTTTCTTACCATCCAGCTCGGCTCAGTCCCAACCACGTCCATGTACGGCGCCGAAGCTGCCGTCATGGCAGATGGAGCTGTTCTTGCCCAAGCACAAAAGCAACAAAGCCTGGGGACCTGCGCATCAAAACCATGGACAACAGCTTTGGCCGCCAGCCTGGTGTCTGGATGTGACCTGACTGCTCCTGGAACCAGGCTGGAACTGAACTGACCCTGGGACCAACCAGACTCCTGTTACACTATGTTGTTCGAATGGGGTTAGGGCCTACTGACTGTGTTACAATGGGAATCAGTCCTCTGTGCTAGCAGTGCTCCAACTTGGCACCACAGGGCTGACAAGCCCTGTTTTAAATATAAAACACTCTACATAATTATCTTTAAGCCCCACAGGCAAGACAAACAAGTCTGAAAGACACAGTAGGTACTTCAAGTGCAGACGTGTCGTGTCGTAGGTTCCACCAAACACGAAATCGGGGCTGTCTCCCTGCCCA